AGGGTCCTATTGCACATACAAACACACATATATAGATCTATATGCTATTCATTCTATTTCTCTAAAGAACTTGGATTAGTACAGATGTGGGTACCAAGAGTGGTCCAGAGGAACAGTCTTAAGGGTAAGTTTTCTCAGTTGGGTTTAGGGTTGCTGGCACCGGCTCTGTTGCCTGATTAAAGATGCTCGTGACTCTATTCCCAGAAATAAAGAGAGCTCTTAGAGTCTGCGGAGTGACCTGGCACTGGAGATACGCAAAGCATCTCCATTACATATTCCTAGTTAAGAAGCAAGGAACGTGACTGTGTGCATGATACTTTCGAACATGTTTGGAAAATAACAAATATAATGAGAGATTAACTGGCTGCTCCTAATGTCATGGACAGTGGTAAAAGCCTTACCATCCTCTGTAGATAACTCCTCTTCTCTTGAGAAATAGCTCTTGGCCTGCTACTGGTCTTAGTGGAGACTGAATGCTTGACCATGGGCCACCAAATTACCATGTGAACTGAGCTGTCTCATTCTTGGGTATTATCTCACCCACCAGGCCACAAAGTTGGGTATGTACACCAACGCCCATCATCAGGTGGAAGTGAAACACACAGAATAGGGCCAGAGCAAGCTGTGAGGGCACGAACAAGGTACACAGAGAAGTGACCCACATGTCCACTTAGCCCTACTCCTGCTACACTGCCTTCCCTCCTTCAGGATGCACCTATGGTTCTACATGGTGTGCCCTATGATTAGATGACAGAAGAGAAGACTTGGGCTGCTTTAGAGATGGTCCTGCACAATATGTAGGCACCAAGGGGAAGTGACAATTGTAGCACAACCGTCCCTTTTTCAGACGTCTCCAAAAGACAGTGGAGAAGAGTAGTCCCAGTGGGAAGACTTTGAGCAGTGCACCTGGTTGTTGACTTTGCTAGGAAGGAGAAATGGCTGCCTGAAATGAGGAAGTGCAAGATGTTACCACCACTCACCCCCACTTTCTCGTGAAAATGCTTTACGTACAAACCAAACCAAATCATCTTTCTCAAAAACCTACAATTCCTATCATTTCCCCTATTTTTATAATTTATTAAGAACTTACTATGTGCAGGCACAGCTCTGGGCAGTACTGACTGAGCAATATAATAGAGTAAGCTAGCTGATACAACAAAAAAGCCCACATTTCAGTGGCTTAAATTAAAAATATTTCTTACTATCACAATCTAATAAAAGTCCATGTGGCAGGATGTGGGGGTTGGAGGCAGTTTTACTTGTCATTGTAATTTAGAGACAGGCTTCTTCCCTTCAGTGGCTCTGACATCCCTTATGACTGGAAGAGGAGGAAAGAGAGAGAAATTAATGAGAATTTTCCAGAAGATTCTCACATGTCTTCATCCAACTGAAAGGGAGACTGGAAAAATACAATCCAGAGTGCCTGGGAAGAAGAGACAGGTGTGGGGCCCATCTAGCCAATGTCTGTAACCAGTTAGAAACAAACGAAGCTTCTCCAGGCAGCTTAAGCTCAAATGTGGAGAGGAAAGACGAAATGTACAACATTATACCAGACAGTGATGAGTGCTACTAAGAGAATAATCCAGCATAAGGGAACACCAGACAAAGGCCAGGAAATGTGTTGCAGTTCCTCCATTCTAAGAACATTTTCCCCGCATTTTAACATCTGTGAAATTGGGATGTACCTTAAAAAATTATCCTTACATTGATTAACTGGCAGCATTTTGCTTTCTTAGTGGTACCCAAAATAATGGTGCACATTACTGGAATATTATCTTAGTCTGTTTGGACTGAGTGCTATAACAAAATATCATATGCTGGGTGGCATATATACAATCAAAACTTTATTTCTCACGGTTCTGGAGGCTAGGAGGTTCAGGATCACAGTGCCAGCAAAGTCAGTGTCTAGTGGGAGCTCACCTCCTGGTTCACAGACACGTGTCTTTTCACTGTAATCTCACATGGGGAGGGAATGAGGCAGTCCCTCTCAGGCCAACTTTGTAAGAGTGCTAATGTCATTCATTAACGCTATACTCTCATGACTTAATCACCTCTTGAAGGCTCCACCTCCTAACAAAATCCCAAAGGGAATTATCATTTCAACATATGAATTCGGGGGAGCACAAACATTTAGAACACAGCATATATGAAATAAGACATTCTGTGTAGGGTCACCAGGGAAGCCCTTTCTGCAATGGCATGTCATCAGAGATCTGAGTGACAAGCAGGATCTATCCACATTAACAATCGGGGCTGAGAACTCTGAGCAGAAGAAATAGCTAGAGTGAGTGTCACAGAAGGAGCATCCTCGAGATGCTCAGGGAACAGCAAAGATGCTAAGGGTGCATGGAGCGGGTAAGGTTGAGAATAGTAGAAGGTGAGGCTAAAAAGGGAACACTACACACTGGGGTCTGTTGGGGGGAAATAGGGGAGGGACAGTGGGGGGTGGGGAGTTGGGGAGGGATAGCATGGGGAGAAATGCCAGATACGGGTGATGGGGAGGAAGGCAGCAATCACACTGCCACGAGTGTATCTATGCAACAATCTTGCATGTTCTTCACATGTACCCCAAAACCTAAAATGCAATAAAAAAAAGTGAGCAGGTGACTGATGGACCTCCCACGAATGATTTTACTTAACTGAGCCTCAGTTCTGAACCATGAAATAAAGGTAATAACATCTATTTCATGTGCAGATTAAGCAATGACACAGTGAAAAAAATGTCATCATCACTGGTCATTAGAGAAATGCAAATCAAAACCACATTGAGATATCACCTCATGCCAGTTAGAATGGCGATCATTAAAAATTCAGGAGACAACAGATGCTGGAGAGGATGTGGAGAAAAAGGAATGCTTTTACACTGTTGGAGGGAGTGTAAATTAGTTAAACCATTGTGGAAGACAGTGTGGTGATTCCTCAAGAATCTAGAAATAGAAATACCATTTGACCCAGCAATCCCATTATTGGGTATATACCCAAAGAATCACAAATCATTTTTTATAAAGACACATGCACACATATGTTTACTGTGGCACTGTTCACAATAGCAAAGACTTGGAACCAACCCAAATGCCCAACAATGATGGACTGGATAAAGAAAATGTGGCACATATATACCGTGGAATACTATGCACCCATAAAGAAGGATGAGTTTGTGTCCTTTGCAGGGACATGAATTAAATTGGAAACCATCATTCTCAGCAAACTGACACAAGAAGAGAAAAACAAACACCACATGTTCTCACACATAAGTGGGTGCTGAACAATTAGAACACATGGACACAGGGAGGGGAACATCAACACTGGGGCGTATTGGGAGGTGGGTGAGCTAGGGGAGGGATAGCGGGGAATGGGGGGATTGGGGAGGAAAAGCATTAGGAGAAATACCTAATGTAGATGACGTGGTGATGGATGCAGCAGACCACTGCCATCCCATGTGTATACCTATGTAACAAACCTGCAGGATCTGCACATGTATGCCACAACTTAAAGTCTATTTTAAAGAGTAATGACACAGTAAAAAAAAACAGGAACAGATACGGTCCAGACATCCCTCTCCCCGCTTCCCTTCTTTATCCCACCTGAGGACCAGTCTAGCAATCTTTTGACAGAGTAGTAATGACAACACATTAAGGTTTCTCTAGTACAATCATAGGCTTTATATTTTAAGCTTTTAATGTAAATCCTCATCTTTCCACCCATGTTGCCTTCTATTAACCAACAAAAGCTGCACGTACAATCTTATGGGCCCTTTTCTCACAAAAAATTCTCAAAGGGAGGCTAAGTGCCGTATTTGGAGAGCTTATTTTATTTTTCAATACAGCTCAATTTTGTTTTTCAAAAATGAAGCACTTTTTATTTTGCATTTGCCATATCTGGAAACTTGACAAAAGGAGAATAAAATTGTGTCCCCATCTCCTTCAGCTTCATGGCGCACCCCAACTTAATCTTCTCTCTTCAGTTTTGATTTTACTACACTAAAAAAAGTTTTGGAGCTAAAACCCAACATTCCAGCCAAGTATGCTACTGATCAAATGAAACTGAAGCTTGGCCAGTGACCTGTGTAGTTAGATGAATTTATTCTCCTCTTGCTAAGTCACGTATTTATTCATCACCAGGTATTTATTCATCACCACTATGTCTCATCTACTATACTCATTAGTCCCACTGCAAGGAAAAAAAAATTAGTCCCACTGCAAGCATTTTACACACATTATTTCTTGTATTACCACAACTGGGAAATAGTGGAAGTTCATTCTCCTTGTGACCTAAGTTGGGTTGGGGACTGGAACCCAGCACTTAGTTTTCTCAAGAGATCAAACAATTGGCACATAGGCAAGGTACAAGCTTGTTTCTGCAGAGACACTAGCAATACAACGTGACCTGGACTAAGGTAAATGCAGAGAAACTAGAACAGTACCTGGCATAAAAAAGGCAGAGATAGACTGATGCCCATGATGGGCTGTTGGAAGGAGATGCAACATCTAAACCAGTAAACATTTGCTTTATTACAGAGACGGATCCAAAATAGAAATTTTCACAGCCCTAAAAAAAAAAAAAAATCTGGGGATATCCTCATGAATGAATAGAAGTGGAGTTATCTTCAGAAGTGGGGAGAAAGATAAAGATGCCCAAGGGCCAGAATCAAAAAGGGTTCATAAGCAAGGTGTGGTCAAGGTGATAAGAGAATCTAAAAAGAACAAAGAAAACTTGCAGAGACTTAGCAGGTCATCAAAGTAAGCTCTGCTCAGGCCATTTTGGTTTTGGAAATGACAAAGAAGTCAGAAATGATAGCCATGCCATGCCGTGCCACTTTCAATGACGAAACAAGGAAAGAGCTTTCCGTTTCCCTTCCTGGTCCCCAAGAAGAGTGGCTGTAAATAGTAGTACATTAGCAATGACAACTGGCAAATAGCTAAGCTGTGCCTATGTCACGGCTGCTTCTGTGGGTACCATCGTGACCCCAGCACGAGTCAAAGATGATGATCAGAATGTCTAGCAGATTACCCAGGTCTTGCACCTGGATCATTGGGCTGCCCTAATTAAGTATATAAAAAATGAAGGGGCAGCTAAAGAAAAATAAAAAGACACCTGAGAAGGTAGCCTGCCTCTTCGACAAGGGACACATTACAGGAACCTCTGAGAACTTTCAGCAATAAAAAGACAAGATAACAAGGGAAACTGGTGGGAAGCCAAAGGTTTTAAGAGGTGAGAGTGGGGAAACGCTGTGCTTTTATTGACCTTCTCCAAAGGAACAACCTTAAGAAAAGGTTAGTTGCAAATAAAGTGTTTTAAAGTAGAAAATTTTTGAAACTGTTAGTACAGTGCTAGTTAGAAGACAAAATTTTAAACCCTCTTTTTAAATGTTTGTTAATGTGTGTGGCTTAAATATCTGTCCTTACAGATAACAAAATCTAGCCTTTGAGAGTCTGTGAGTTAACAAAAGAATGACAGTAAACTGGATTCAAATTAATATTCAGGATTTCATTCCTCCTAAATGGAAACATAGAATTTCCATCTGTAAAACCATAACCAAGTGTTTCTGAAACCTCTTTGTAAAACAAACAGGAGAGATTAGAATTTGGGCTATGCTTATAAGAATTAGTTACATATTTTTTCATTTTTATGAACCATTATAATTGATCTGTTGTTATAAACTGACTTATGTTTTAAATCCTTATTTTTTGTGTGTTTGGCTTAAGTTTGTTTTCAGAAAGTTGACCAGAATAAGAGTAATTAAAATGGGTAATACAAGAAAATTGCATGGCATTCTATGTTTATCAATGATTATCTTATAATTGTTCTTCAAAGCTGAAGTTTTTGGGGAAAAAATCATTTATGGAATATTTTGGAATCTTGGTTTAGAACGTATGGAATGTGCCTCTGGCTGAGAATGGGTCCTGGTCAATCTTCTCACCATCTCTAATAAAATGATTTTAAAGATATTTACAAGTTAAAAAAATGGTTATTTCTTTGAACATTTTAAACTATTAAAAATTTAAAACCTTTAAATTGAAAGGTATGGAAAGTAACAATGGTAGAAACTTACAGTAAAACAAAATTAGGTTAGGCTGCTTTTTAATTGAGGATTTCTTTAGCTGATTGTCAAGTTGAATAGAGAAGTATCTTTCAGAAAGGGTAGAATAGACTAATTTGTATGAGTTTTAATATTTAAAGGAAGTCGTATAATTTATATAACCAACACGTAACACACATAGATAATATAGATAATCCTGTACTTTATAGCAGTTTCAAATATAGAATATTCCATATCAATATTCCCTCGTCATGTGGCTTGAGATCAATTTAATCTGGTCTCCAGAAAAAAAATTAAGACAAAATGGATAATACAGTTTTTAAATTACATTAGAAAACTGAACTTTCTCCAATCTGAAAATAAAATGAACACAAAGAATTCAACTACCATATGGTGCAATGAGAAAATATGACTCAAAGTAACTACAGAAGCTCAGTCTGCATTGTCTAGATCTCAGATTCCTACATCCTCTCAGTAGGAAAGGCTACACTTGAACTCAGATCTTCAGACTTGTGACTCTTCCCCCAGCAGAAGGATCTGAAACTTCCCACAGGCTTCAAGTTTTCCAGCTGCTGGGCAGCTGAATTTTGCAGAAATCTGAAAACAGCTTCCATCTATGCTCAGACTGTCTGGCACCCAAATAGTTTGTCCCTCTATGACCCCATGTCCAACTCATAAGACTGCTTTCAGGGTCCTCTTCTCTTGAATATAACCCTCCTACATGTTGCCCTGGGCCCCAGATTGCTTTTCTGTAAGATGATGATAAGACAGGGATCTGTACTCCCGTTCATGCTGGTTCTCAGCTCCTAAGTTTTCTAATAAAGTCTATTCCTTAATGTGCACCAAGTGATGAAAATTTGACCTTTGTTACCTTGCATAACAATCCTCTAAGAACATTTTATACACAAAGAACAACGGAGCCGATGGCAAAGGGGTCTGTACAATAATCACATTGGTGTGAAAAGAATCAAGATTACTTCCTTGCTATGACCTGCACTCACGATTCACAGATTCCATGGTTGCAGATTCACCGACTTGTTAAAATTTATTTCTAACTGCCAAACCAACGCTCAAAGATGTGTCCATGGTTATTCATGGGCATGCACAGATTAGTAAAAAATTTGAGTCAACTAGCATTCATATTTCCAGCTGAGGTAGAAGAAAGAAATCCTCTCTTTCCTGTTTCAGCTCTCATACTGTAAGCAAGTATCCTTTTTGTGGTTTATTTAGTGCCACATTTTTCAAATTGTTGTGACTTTTGCTGGTGACTTTGATATTTACAATAGCCTCCAAGCACAGTATTAGATTGCTGTCTAATGTTGGTCAGAGTAGCAAGGCTATGATGTGCCTTATGGAGAAAATGTATGTGTCAGATAAGCTTCATTCAGGCATAAGTTACAGGACTATTGGCCATGAATTCAGTGACAATGAATCAGCAACACATGGCATCTACAAAAAGAAATAGAAAATTCACTGATCTGCATATGAAACCACTCTGGAAGTGCTAAAGTAATATCTACAGTGAATGATGAAATTATAAAAAAGAGGAAAAGTAGCCAAATTTGTGGATTCATGAGATGACAACCTATTTTTAAAAAGCAAAGTGGACAACAATGTTGTGAGGCTGAAAGCCAAAGAAATTTATGATCGTATTACCCAGGGTCAGGAGAATGTTTAACCCTTCTTAGCTAGTGTTGGCTGGCTCAGATGTTTTAAAAGGCAATACAAGGTCAAAAAAGGTTAAGCTTGCAGGTAAGGCAGGTTCCACAGAATAGGAAGCTAAGAAGAATTTTTTAAATAACTGCTAAATATGACACAAATAAAGGGTTATGTAGAAGAGCAGTTTTTCAATGCTGATTATACTGGCTTGCTTTGCAAGGACTGTGCCAAACAACTCTATATAATGCAAATGGCATTTCAGTTGGCAAAATTGTTATGACCAGAAGCTCACAAGAACTTAACCTTATATTTTCCCTATGAGCGATATAGTTCATTATTTGCTAATTCAGTTGTTTGTGGTGACTTTGTAGAACATTACTACCTCACCCCAAAACCTAAAATGCAATAATAAAAAAAAAAAGAATGAACTATATTAAAGTCAGTGTAGTAGGGATGTGGTTTTCATTGAAATTCATGGTTGCTAAAATGGTTCTGCTGAGTTTAGCCCGTATTTATGGAATAGGAGCATACCATCAATCCTGAGATCTTTTGTCTCCCTCTTGGCTAATGAGCATTTCTTGACCCTTTAACACTCAGAGGGAGCTGGGTCTATTGCTGCAGTACAGGCAGGTAGTGGCAGTAAGCACTTTACTGAGGATGAGCAGATGCTCCTTAACTAGCTAAATGATATGCTCAAATGAAAGTCTCTTGTGTGAAAAAATCTAAACATTACATGTATGTTCAAATTTGGAGGAAACTCCAAAACCACACACACACACACACACGCACACATATGTACATGAAAGGTGACTGACATGTCCATGTTATTGGGAAAGATATATTAACAGAATATTCCACAGACTGGATACTTTATAAACGGTAATCTGTAGGCTCACAGTTCTGGAAGCTGGAAGTCCAATATCAAGGTACAGGCAGGTGTGGCAATTCTGATTTCAAGATGGTGCCTCAATTGCCATGTCCTCTGGAGGACAGAAAAGCTTCATTCTCACATAGTGGAAGGGAGAAGGGCAAAGCAGCAATAGGGGGTCAAGGTTGCCCCTTTTGTAATGGCATTAAATCCACCCAGGCAGGCAAAACCCTCATAGCTTAATCACTTCCTAAAGGCACCACCTCTTAATGTTCTTATAATGGCAATTAAATTTCAACACAAGCTTTGGAACAGATAAACGTTCAAACCACGGCACCCCACACAAGGCAGAATGTAAGCACATGCAAACTGGATTCATACTCCTCTTTGTCTCTGGTCATAAGAGGTAGTGGAGGTCATTTCTCACCACCGCTTCCCCTACCTCCTGTAGAACCACTGTAGCCCACAAATTCATCATGAATATGTTTAAAGTTACAAAATTTACAATCCATAAGATTATGACATAATGAAAAGATAAAAGTCTTTCAGTTAGAAGGAAGTAGGTTTAAATGATGGCTCCATGATGAGAATTTTTACCAAGTTATGAAATGTCTATTGAGGTCAGTATTATCACCTCTAAAATTATAGCACAACACTTCTACTTTTGGTTATGTTAAGCTGGAGATGCTCATTAGACATCCAAATATATATATATATGTGATACATATATATGATGCATATACATACATAGGATGCATATCATTAGATATATATAACACACACACACACACACACACACACACACAATTAGATAGAAAAGCAACTGGAAGGCAAGCAACTAGAATTGTTGTGAGTCTGAGATAAAGGGGTAGATCTGGGCTGGAGATACATTTGGATGCTGTCAGAACATAGATGGCGATTAACACTGTGGGACTTTTAAGGCAGCTCTTAGGCAATGACTATGGATAGAGAAAAGGCCTTAGGACAGAGCCAAGGTATTCTTTTTTTTTTAATTGCATTTTAGGTTTTGGGGTACATGTGAAGGACATGCAAGATTGTTGCATAGGTACATACATGGCAGTGTGGTTTGCTGCCTTCCGTCCCCTCACCTGTATCTGTCATTTCTCCCTATGCTACCTCTTCCCACCTCCCCACCCCATCCCTCCCCCGTTTACCCCAATGGACCCCAGTGTGTAGTGCTCCCCTCCCTGTGTCCTTGTGTTCTCATTGTTCAACAACCGCCTATGAGTGAGAACATGTGGTGTTTGATTTTCTGCTGAGAATGATGGTTTCTAGGTTCATCCATGTCCCTACAAAGGACACGAACTCATCATTTTTGATGGCTGCATAATATCCCATGGTATTCTAATATTTAGGAGTTAGGAGGATAAAAAGAACCCAGCACAAAAGATTTTGAAAAAGCAGTCCATAGGCAAGAAAAGGTTAGTGATGTCATGTAAGGCAGGTGAATAATGAGTTTCAAAAAGGAAGATTTGCCAGTTGTGCCAAGTGCTGATGAGAAGCAAAATGAGGACCAAAAGCTGAACTTTGTATTTGGATATGCATCACTGGTGATGAGCCCTGGAGATTCTGACAAGAGCAATTTTGGTAGAATGTGGGAACAAATGCCAGATTGGATAGAGGAAGATGGCAAGTAAGGATGACTCTTTCAAGGAGTGTTTTGTAAAAGGCTGCAGAGAAATGGGGCAGAAGTAGGGAGAGGGCTAAAGGAAGAATGTTTTTAAAGGTGAGAGACACAACACCACAGTAATGATCTAAAAAAGATCAACCCTGATGATGTAGGAGGCGAAGAGGGCAACTGCCAAAACGAAGTACCTGGGCTGTGTCAGGTTCTAGCAGCGGGCAGTTTAGCTCTGGATAGGAGTGTTGGCAATGTATTCCTCGTAATAGGAGGAAGGAAGACTGTTTGCAAATAGACACAGGTATCTTGTTGATTTCACGGTCAGCAAAGATAAATTAAAGTATGCTTGGTATACTTTATGAAGTATTAAGTAGTTTAGAAAAAGGATACACAGATTTGTTAACTCTAAACATTAGTAGAAAGTATAAATTCAGGCATGTCTGCTTGAAGTTAAAATATAAAACTTAAAACTTTTTTAACTAGAGGGAAAAATAGTCCTAAGAAAGTTCATTCTGTTAACAAAAGATGAGAAAAGATAAAATAATTAATTGAAAGATGTGATATTAAGTCCTTAACTCATTTCTGAGACAAGTATAATTCTGCTACCAAACTAGATGAAAGACAGCATAAGGGAAGACAAATATCATAAAAGTAGATGCCAACTTCTGAGACCAAATGTTAATAAACTGAACGCAGTCACTAAAAGAATCATAAAGAATAGGCAGGCAGGATTCATCCCAGAAATGCAAAGGTAATTAAACATTACAAAATTTATCATGTAATAATATATGTTAAGAAACTGAAAAAGAAATTACATAACAACTTAATTAAATTACATATTTAAGTTGTTATATAATTTTATATTTGTTATACATTAGGTTCTTATATATTAGGTTTTTTGAAATATATTTTTTTTTCAAAAATCAACTGATAGAATCAAACACCCAAAGCATATTTTAAAACTTTTAGTAAACTAAGACTGGAAAGCAAACCTCTTAACTCTATATAAGGTAACCAGCAGAAACTTTAGCAAACATTTTTTTACAGTGGAACTCCAAAGGCATTGCATTAAAGCCAGGAATAAGACCAGGATAACACAGCCATTCAACTGTTCAATACTGTAATAGAATTTCCAGCTAGTGCAATAAGATCTGGAACAGGAAGGGGTGAATAAATAAATGGAGAAGTTGCGAGTATATCTACCAGAAAGGAAGGGATAAAACTGTCCATTTTTACAGGCAATGTAAAAATTAACCTAGGTAATACAAGAAAATCAACAGACAAATCTATTCACAATGGCAACAAAAACCACAAACAGAAACCACCTAGGAATAAACCTAATAGAAAAAGTATAAAACGTTTATGAACAAAACTGAAAACATTTACTGAAATATGTAAAGAAGGATTTGATAAGTGGAAATATATTTGTAGACAGAAAGATTCCTTTGGAAGGATATCAATATTCCCAGGATTAATTTATAAATTCAATCCAGTCCAATCAAAATACCATAACAGTTTTTGGCTTTAGACAAAATTTTTTAAATTCAAAATGAACATGGAAAGTCATAATCATTTTAATACAAGAGAGATATTTGTCTATACCAGTTAGCCATTATGACAAGTTCTAAAACTAATGAAATTAATATTACACAGTAGTTGTATAGGAAGAAATAAATTAGTAGACACAATAGATCATCCTGAAGCCAAATCGTGTATATAAACAAAGAATAAGATAAAGGTGGCACCCCAAATCATGTTAGTTCCCAACCTTAATAGTATTCTTCAAAAATGGGAGAAAAAATATAAGTAAATATGTTATATTATACAGCAGTTAAAAATGAATCATAGATGAATAAGTATGAATTCAAATATATTTTTTCTAAGGTATACTGTGAAATCAAAGCAAGATGCAGAGAAATAAAAAAAAAAGTTCGGAATTATATATTTCTATTAATGCATTTTGGTCAGTGCAAAGAAAAAGACCTAAAAGGAATATACCAAAGGGATAACAATTTGTTTCTGAGAAGGAGATATTGGATAAGAATTTAAAGACAGGAAAAACAATGCTCCCCCCACCCCCAAAAATATGTCCACATTCTAACCCCTGGAACCGATGAATATATTAAGTTACATGGCAAAGGGGAATAAAGATTGCAGATAGAATTAAGGTTGCTAATCCGCTGACTTGGAAATAGAGAGATTGATCTGGATTATCCGGTTTACTCAATGTATTTACAAAGGTCTTTCAAGTGGAAGAGGGAAGTACAAGAGGGAGGACGAGACAGACTGCAACACGAAAAGAATTGGGCTCAATGTTGCCGGCTTCAAAGATGGAGTATGGAGAAAGGAAGTTAAGAAATGTGAGCAGCTCTAAAAACTAGAAAAAGCAAGGAAATGGACTTGGTGCTGGAGCCTCCAAAAGGAATGCAGCTAACACCCTATTTTTACCTCAGTGAGAGCTGTGTCAGCCTTTCAGCCTCCAGAACTGTAAGATAATACGTTTTTAATGTTTAAGCCACTGAGTTTGTGTTAATTTGATATAGCAGCAACAGGAAACGAATGCAAGTTGTTTAAAAAAAAAACAAAAAAAACAACTATTTTCACCATGCTTACAATGCTTCAGGTTTTTTTTTTTTTCAATTGTACTTTAGGTTCTGGGGTACATGTGCAGATCATGCAGGATTGTTGCATAGGTACACACATGGCACCGTGGTTTGCTGCCTCCATCCCCCGTCACCTACATCTGGCATTTCTCCCCATGTTATCTTTCCCCAACCTCCCCACCCCGCCTACTGTCCCTCCCTTGCACCCCCCACAACAGACCCCAGTGTGTGAAGCTCCAGGTTTTATATATAATAAAAGTTATGTATGTGTAATTTCAAATTGCTAAGACAAATGGAAAGGTAGTAGCTAGATGTCACTGGGTGGTATTCTTTTTGTTATCATCATTTTATTCTTATTTGTTTTGTTTATTTGATGCAGCATGATAGAAATTGGCACTAATCATCATAAAAGAGGAATGACAGCCAAGCCAGCGAGGAATTTTGGGGTTCATTTTGAAGACTTGTGCACTCTTGACCTGGTCACAAACACTGCATTCACCCATCCCCACTTGAAAATACATCTTTTTTTTTTTTTTTAAGCTTCTCACCTCCAATATCTACTAAGACAGACTTGTGCAAGGAGTGAACTAGTATTGTATCTGCTAATTTCTTTGCAGGCAAAAATCAAGTTACCAGAAAAGTATTTCTTAAAAACCACATACAGTCTAAGAGCACTGAAACATTTTGAATCATTTGCCTTTTCTCAACGCTGGATTTTAAGCAAGGAACAAGACTATTTCAGTTCCAAATGCTTTAATGAGCAAGGAGTATTGGCTTTTAGCACCAAAAAGATCTATCCCCACTCTGAAGCTTTAACTTGAGTAGCTGCTGTGCTTTGTAAAACTTCAATCTAATTCATCTGATAACTACAATTACCAAACCTGGGAAGTGCTGACTACACAGTTCAAAAAAACAGCGTGGAGGAAAGACCTGCTGGGAACCTTAGAATCGACAGATAAGCTCTTTAAGTGATTTAAAGTAATAAACAACTTCAATTGAAAGGACAATAAAATGTTTTTCATATATATATATATATATATATAATATATATACGCATACACACACACACACACACACACACACACACAAGACTTCCTGTTATTTCTCTTATTTTCATAAAGAACTTGAGAAAGGTCACAAATGTGCAGTTAAAAACCAGATAAATTACTAAAATATAGGAGAGTGATAGATGTTATTACGTGGCTTCAAACAAATTAACAAAATTGGACAACCAGTTCTTATTCATCTGTGGAAATTTAGGGGCACAACTGTAGATAAACTTCAACAGGAGCATACTATAACTTTAGAAGTCATTAGAGTAAGCATTAATAATTTTCTTTTAAAAATATTTTTTGGGCTGGGTGTGGTGGCTCACACCTGTAATCCTAGCACATTGGGAGGCCACCTGAGGTCAGGAATTTGAGAGCAGCCTGGCCAACATGAGGAACCCCATTTTCTACTAAAAATATAAAAATTAGCGGGGCATGGTGGTGTGTGCCTGTAGTCTCAGCTACTCAGGAGGCTGAGGCACAAGAATAGCTTAAACCAGAGAGGCAGAGGCTGCAATGAGCTGAGATCATGCCACTGCGCTCTAGCCTGAGATAGATACATATGCATGTATTTAATTTCTGATTAAAACCTCCAAGTTTTGTGCTGTATATAGAAGAAACCATTTTGGGAAGGATAGTGGATACTGAATCTTCCTTTTCCAACAGTCCTGAGTATCCTATTTAGGGGTTCATGTAGTTCTAAGGATCCTTATTTTGCCACTTCCAACTCATATGATTCAGGCTGGTCAGTTGGCACCATCCACTTGCCAGGCCATCATAATTGTTCAGGAGCAGGCATGTGATCTGAACCAGTCCAATTACAGTGAACCTCAAAATTTTGCTTACATTTCTGGAACTAATGTACTCTTTTCAAATTCCTTTTGCAACTGTGGAGTGTGATTGTGAGACGTGGAACCATGATGCTGATTCTTACTACCATGAAGGAACCCAGCCCGAGGGTAACACTGACACAAGGAGGAGGACAGAATCAAAATTATAGAGAAATGGATCTGGAGACCTGATGACGTTATGATCCTCTTGATCAAACCTTTCCATCAAATCAAACTAGACTCTCAAGTTTCATAAGCCAGAATATTACCTTATTTAATAAAGCATGTTATTGTATTTTCCATTACTTGCAAACAAAAACATTCTGCTGTTTTTACCTGTTATTGATGAACCCATGGTCATCCCATTCATTTAAAGAAAATAAAAGACGCTTTGTATTAGCTACTTTTAAATTGAGCTACACTCTGATGGGCCCACAAGGGTAAGTTAGGAAGAAAAATATTGTCAAGTAGCTCCATAATGGGACTCGGTTGGGATTCTTTTGATTGCCCATTTAGATGTCAGGATTGTGTGACAAAATTAATTACTTTTAATACAGTTAAAGCTTGTTTGCTTTTTTTCTGATAACAATTAGCCAATAAATTTAGTTTCTTAAGAAATTAGAATAATAAAGCCATATTATAAACTAGAAAATTTTGTTTACTTTTTAATAAACCATATCAAATTACTTGTTTTTTTGAACCTCACACAGGAACAAAAGAATTGCAATACTTCAGGGATTAATGGTAGTATTACCAAAGAATTGCCTTTTCCCATGTCAAATTCCAACTGAAATAAATAATGTAATATACAAATAATGGATCAACTTTGTAAAATAAAGGTGAAAGCTATCTACATGTCTGAAAGTTGGAATAATTTCTGCTAGACACATACCAGAAGAACTGATTGATGAAGATACACCCAAGACTCTCCATTGAGAGGATGTGGTATGTTCGAGACAAAAGTTAAAAGAATCTTGAATGATATTCCCCCATCCCTAACATCCCTTAACTCAAAGCTTCGGTCAAAGGAGCCTTTGGGCAACAACATTGAGGTAATGGAGTGACACTTTGAGACCCTGATGTTGATGACCAACCCAAACATAATAGACATGCTCAGTGAAGAAATTAATGATTATGAAGAAAGATCATAAGTAACAGATTGAATACTACAAAAACTCAAAATCAAGATTAAATTCAAGAAATTTTTTTTTTATCGTGGAAGAGAAAGGCAATAAAGACAAGAAAAGAAAAGACAAATGACAGGACTAGGAAATCAGCCTGTAAATATCAACAATTATTGAAAAAGTAAACAAAGCAAGAGTAGAAGAAATACTCATAATGAAAAATCTTCAATGTAATTGAAAAAATATGTAGGAAAATTGTTATTTAGAAATCCCTGATGGTTATTAAGAAGTATGGGTATTAAGTACTCTGGATTTGTTGGATACTAATATCAGGAGAAGCTAAATTCCTCTGTTCAAGGAAAGGAATAGTAAAAGACATGGGGATTAGAAAACATGGAAGGAAGGAAAGGCTGGAAACAGGAAAATAACAGAGCTGAGAAGGACAGGAAAAGACAGGTATTTGGGAAGCAAAATGATTTAACTCCCAATACAACAATTTTCCTCTATCTCCCCAATAAAATGTTGGTAACATTTATATTGTTCGCTGGTCCTTTGACTATACGTTGTGCTGAGATCCTGCCTCAAGGTTGTTGTAAGGCTAGAATGGAGGCTTCCTGTGATGACTGAATCACATCTAGACTGCACACATGGAATTTTCTTGCTCTAAAAAAAATCTTTGGTCTAAAAATCAAAATTCATATCATCCTTGACATAAACTAACAGAAAAGCATAATATATCTAGGCCAGTCCTATTAGAATTTCATACTTTCAAGAGAAAGACTCTCATGAATTTTGAAAAAACAATCAGATTATCTACAAAGAAAGAAAATTTAGCCCGACCCTAACTACACCACAACACTAAGCAGTACAATGGAGTAACATCTGTAGGGTTTTTGTTGAGGCAAGCGGGGAAGGATGTGCCTTAAGAATATAAGATCTAATAAAGATTTTTCTGGCAGAAAGGAACTTACACTATAAAAACTCATGTAGGGGGTAATCACTATGAGTCTCAAGGATCTGAAAAAGCTTAACAGAAGTGTTATGCCTCAAAAACAGGCTTTGACTAGAAGGCAAAGGTCTAGGCATTTCTAGGTATTTTGGAGAAGAAGTGACCTTAGAGATGATGATGTGTAAGGGGGAATTATTGAAGGTGATGTGATAGAGAAGCTAACAAAGGCACTTGAGTCTTCTTGACTGTCCATTATTCTTATAAGAAAATGAGAACTAGTGAAGGTTCATGAAGAAAAAGCAACATGAAGGCCACTGTTTCTCAAGATTAAGCTGTGGAAACTAGAAACATAAAGCCCAAAGGGCAATGCAAAGAGTTAAGACTCGATCATGACTACCTAAACCAAGATGACGGCAATGAGAGTATTCACAAGGAGGGACAGGGGAAGGAATTATTTTGACATAAAATCTACTGGGGCTTGGTGTTAGGGTTACAGGTAAGGGATAAGAAAGCTAGCGTATGGCTGGACTGCAAGTTCTGACTCAGGAGCTGAACTCATGTTTATGCACTTATATAAGATGCTTGAAAAACTCCATGCTCAGTAAACTAATAGCAAAATAACCAGTAGCCAACCCTTGAATCATTCAGATATTATATCTAACCATTTTACAACAATTACATTTGAGAAAGGTAGAAACTGAGAGAAAAAGTAACAATACATTTACAGACCAACAGAAGGGTATAAATAATAATCTTCAAAAGAGAAATGGGCAAATACTTAAAGGAATATGTACACCTGAGAGCTAGATAACCGGAAATTATGTGAAAGAAGATGTAAGAGAAAGGACTTAGTAGTGAAATTGGAGAAGCTGAGGCAGTGTTGTAGGTTTACAGTCTGTGTAAGATAAGTTAATGGAGTTGGAAGCAGAATTATCCTAGGCTACCTAGATTGCTGTTTTTCGCAGAGGTGGCCTAAAACCAGCGACTCTGATTGGGATTTTGAAAAAAAAATTAAAGGAATTTCAGGTACTGAAATCAGCATCTCCATCTGTATAGACAGGTTTGTGGGTGATCAGGACTGAAAAAGGCAGTAAATCAGGTAGTCCACTATTTTAAATTTTGTTGACAGGTAAGAGAGAAGAAACTAAAGACAATTCTAAGGTTTAAGTGTAAATGACTAGGAGAATAATTATGTCATTAACATAAATAGCAAACTCTAGAAGGGAGTTTGATTTGGAAAAGAACATGAATTTAAATTTAAGCATGCTGAATGTGAAATGGAAGCAGGACAGGTGAGGGTGGGAATGGTGGGGAGGGTGGGGAGGGATAACATGGGGAGAAATGCTGGATGTAGTATACACCTAAAGTAAAAACAAATAAGAAAGAGATTCTTTGTCCAATTTATTACAAGCTGTTAGAAATCTGGAACTGGAGCCCAGAGCGCAGGCCTGGACTTCAGGATAGCAATAGGTTTTGGACATCAATTTCAAGAAGGGATATTTAAAACCATTGGGATTCTAAGAGAAAAAAGTAAAAACATAAGGAGGTCAAGAAAAAAGTTTTAGGGAAATTCTACATTAGCATCAAAAATAATAAGAAGAGTCTTACAGAAAACTGGTCAAATATTTGAGAGGAATTAAGAGAACCAGATCAAAGACATCAATATAAAGAAACTTTTAAACACAAGAATATGGTCAAAATACACTGAAAAGAGATTTAAGATTGGGGAAAGCTTGCCGCATTCACTTAGAGATATAGCAATTATAGTAGAGACCCACATTAACAGTGTTTTAAACAAAACAGACACATATCTCTTTCACATTAGTAACCTGCAGGAGGAAGATCCTGTTTTATAAGGTTGTCAGAAAGCTAATCTCTCTCTCTCTCTTTCTTAATTGTTTTTACTTTAGGTGTATACTACATCCAGCATTTCTCCCCATGTTATCCCTCCCCACCCTCCCCACCATTCCCATCCTTCACTGTCCCTCCCCTACCTCCCCTCCCTCAACTGCCCCCAGTGTGTGATGCTCCTATCCCTGAGTCCACGTGTTCTCATTGCTCAACACCCGCCTATGAGTGAGAACATGTGGTGTTTTGTTTTCTGTTCTTGTGTCAGTTTGCTGAGAATGATGGTTTCCAGATGCACCCATGTCCCTACAAAGGACACGAATTCATCATGTTTTATGGCTGCGTAGTATTCAATGGTGTATATGTACCACATTTTCTTTGTCCAGTCTATCACTGATGGGCATTTGGGTTGGTTCCTGGTCTTTGCTATTGTACACAGGGCTGCAATGAACATACGTGTGCATATGTCTTTATAGTAGAAAGATTTATAGTTCTTTTTTTTTTTAAATGAACAATGTTGAAATTTTATTTCTGAAATGTTTTATTCTTTTAATCAATACATATTATATTAAGTATAGAATTTCCTTAAAAATTAGCAAATAACTCTCAATTTCACTGTTAGGACATTGTTATAGAGAGGGAAACATTTATTTTCTTTTTACATTTATCCACATTCCAAGTAGATTATCATAGTAAGGTTCTTCTGTGTTACTTTTGTCCAAGTTGTGACAACTGTTTAATGAACTGTGTAGCATTAAAAAGCTCACTGCAGCCATATAAAATGTGTTTGCCTTGTTTTCCCTTTATGTAGTCAACAAGATTTTGATATTCAATGTAGTTGCCTCCGCCCACCACAAAAACAATGGCCTCTTGGAATGGATTTTTGTTTCTGGGAACTGAGCTGTCATTGCCCCGCAGCATTTTGGGATCAAAATATCTATAGTCATCAGTTTCAGGGTTTGAGTTCATCTCCATAAGATTGTCCAAAATACGAGTAACAGGTAGATTTTGCTGTTTCAAAACCAGGTTCTTCACTCCTTCCATCACAAACTGTGATCCTGTATTCATGACTCGTGATAAGAGACCCATTGATTTAGTGGTAGTGCTGCCATAGCTGGCAGGAGCTGAGGCCATCTTGGTAAAAACCTTCCACTGTTTGATGTACTGTAAAGGATTAAGGTTGCATCCTGCATCAGTTAATGCTTTTTTATATTGCTCCAAATCAGCCTCAGAGGGTGCTTGCTGTGTACTTATATAATAGATAAGAAACAACCTCATTTTATCTTCTGGAGTTCCTGCATCAGGGTCTGATATTATATCTAGACGAGATTTATCCAGAGTAGTTGGGATTGCTGGGTCAAATGGAATTCCTATTTCTAGATCCTTGAAAAATTGCCACACTGTCTTCCACAATGGTTGAAATAATTTACATTCCCACCAACAGTGTAAAACTGTTCCTATTTCTCCACATCCTCTCTAGCATCTGTTGTCTCCAGATTTTTTAATGATCGTCATTCTAACTGGCATGAGATGATATCTCAATGTGGTTTTGATTTGCATTTCTCTAATGACCAGTGATGATGATCATTTTTTCATGTTTGTTGGCCTCACATATGTTTTCTTTTGAAAAGTGTCTGTTCATATCCTTTGCCCAACTTTGAATGGGGTTGTTTTTTTCTTGTATAACTGTTTTAATTCTTTGTAGATTCTGGGTATTAGCCCTTTGTCAGATGAATAGATTTCAAAAATTTTTCCCCATTCTGTTGGTTGCCGATTCACTCTAATGATGGTTTCTTTCGCTGTACAGAAGCTCTGAATTTTAATTAGATCCCATTTGTCTATCTTGGCTTGTGTTGTCATTGCTTTTGGTGTTTTAGTCATGAAGTCCTTGCCTATGCCTATGTCCTGGATGGTTTTGCATACGTTTTCTTTCAGTGTTTTTATTGTGTTAGGTTTTAGGTTCTCTTTTATTGCTCCATTATTCCTAGGACATCATTCTCTTTTGTATGGCTCAAGATGACTCCTCACAGCATTCACATTCTAGGAAACCAGGTGGAGAAAGAAAGGAAGGGGGTCGTGTTCCAGAACTGGTACATATCACTTCCCTTCCCCTGCCTTCACATTCTGTTGGCTATAACTTAGTCATATATCTATGACTAGATGAAGCATAGTCTATAGCTGAGTGGTCATGTATTTAACAAAAAATTCTATTATAGTGAAAGAAAGGGAAAACAAATATGCACTGTTACTCTTAGTGAATTTACTTAAACTAGAGTCTGATTTAGAAGCCCAATCTCTATACCCCCAAAATATCAGGTCATAGCGTGTACGAATGTTCTGGCATTTTTTTCACATATCACAAAAGGTTCCTGTTTAACATTTCCTTAAAATGATTAGCATAGTTCCTATCTGAGTCACGGCACCAAAAAAAAAAAAAAAAAATTATTAGCATAACAGGCACTATGACTTAGACAAAGAACAAAACAGTTTCAGAAGAGAAAAGAAGATCTAACTAAATTGATTCAAATAATATGTAAGGGAAGTACAGAAGCTCAGTAACCAGCATGTGGATACACACAGTAAAGACCTGTCAGTGACTTGCACTCAATGTTCTGAGCCTAGAAAGCCCCAATAGCCTAAACTTTTCCAAGGCAAATGTGGATTTTTTTTAAGTATTTATTTGCATTTAGCATCTGTGAGGTATTTTGTGAGCACATGCATGTGTGTGTATTGTGTGTATGAATGAAGTAACATAAAATAGATATTTCTCATTAGATTAAGTTATAGGTTTATAGGTTTCAATTGCAAAGATCTCAGTTCCTGTTAAAAAATAAAATTAAACAGTGTTCACCTATAATTTTACGTCACCTTGAAATCAGGAGGTGCATCTAGGTGAAGAGTTAGCATAGCCAACACTTTGTTTTCAATTATTCCTTTGACAGTTTGGTGCCACATGTACTGAGCTCAAGGACTATAAAACCAACTTGGCACCTCAGGAGACACTTAGCAGTGGCAAAGCTAGATTAAAATTTGAGCCTCAAAGAAAACAAAATTGTCTGCTGCAGTCAGCTGATGGCATGGTGTACAGTGAATAAAAACAAAATCTATATGCAAAAATTAGCACTAGGAGTACCTTTTTCTAATATCGTAAAGATATATTTCTACTGGCAGCCAAAAATCACACTTAATGCTGAAATACTGAGTCAGTCTTATTGAAGTTCAGAACAATGATGTTCTGGAGGTTCTGAAAAACACATTAAGAAATTGGAAGAAAGTACCAAGAGTACAAATAATTGCAGAAAATAAAATTATATACCCAGGAAATCAATCAAAAAAATTCGAATTAGAAAGTTATGAAAAATGGCTGTGAATAAGACAAAATATATATATTTGTATGGACATATATACACATGTATACATATACCTATGTACAATATATTATATATAGAATATTACAATCAACCAGTAATAATCAGTGAGAAAATAATACATAATAATAATAAGCAGGATTCTTCATATAATAGACAAAACAAAATCAAATCATACAATATACAATATGTAGGAGCAACATTAATGGTATATGTAAAAGCTATATGAATAAGATGGTAAAGCACAGCCAAGCAAGAGGGTAAAATACACCTGTTTATGGTAAATTTAGATGTTATTGGTCATTGTAGATACTATAGATATTATTGGCTATTAGAGGTATTATAGATACAAAGAGGTATATATTCTTAAAAGGTTTAGTATAGTTTAATATAATTTGCTTTAATGTAATTCTAGTCAAACTCTCAATATTAAAAATATAATTGTATTAAGACAATAATAATATAAAATAAAAATTAGGTAAATTTTAGGTTATAGAAGATATTTCTAACCATAATTACCAAAATAGGTACCATAAAAAATCACTAATGTAAGACTTTCATATTAAAAAATCCACATACAAGAAAAGTAATGGAAAAAATTGGAAAAAAATCTTAATTTAACTTGCATGACTGACAAATAGTAACATATTCTTATAGTAGACTTTGCTAACGTGAATGCCTGTCCTGTATCTAGTTTCTGCTGCTTCTTTGCTTCAAGATTCCATATTGTGTTTGAGGCAGTAATATGCCAATTATTTACTATTGTAGTTAGATGTCTCTGAAACCATGTTTGGTCAATGAGACATAAGCAAAATTCCCTAGGTGGGGCTTCAAGGAAAGCCATGTTTTCCTTATCGAAAGGAAAGGTATAACCTGGCATGTGCCTTTTGCCATTGAGTCTTTCTGCCTTCCTTTTTGATATCTCAAATTGATGCCTGCAGGGGTAACAGCCATCTTTTGACCATAAGAAAATAAAAGTCACACACTGGTAAGAGTGAAGCATTTAGAGAACAGTCTAGTTCCCTTAGCGCCTGTACCAGGCCTGAAATGCCATTGGTGAACTTGTTATGTGAGAAAAAATACTCTTATCTGGTCACTCCATACAATCTGGTTTCTGTTACATGCACTCGAGCCAAAAAAAACCTTACTATTTCTACAACTATACTTTTTTAAAGAAGAAGATGAACGCTATAACAGGAAAGAAATGAACTGTACACAGAAGATATAATTTTAAAACTACAAAAGTCATACATGAAAAGTATTGAAAATCATTAACAAAACTATTTTTTAATTACCATTTTAAAAGATTAAGATGCAAAGATTTTAAAACAGGGTAATATGCAGTGTGGTGGTGGTTGTGAAAATGTTATCAGATACTGCTTGTGAAAGTGTAAATTAGTAAAACCCTTCATAAGGCTTTTCTATTGTGCTGCTTTTAACTATAAATATGCCTATTCTTTGGGTCATAGGCAAATGCAAAATATAAAACTATAAAACTGCTAGAAGAAAACACAAGAGAAAGCCTTGTGATGGGTTAGGTGATGAGTTACTAAACACAACTCTAAAAGCATACTTCGCAAAGGAAAGAAAAGTTGATGTTCTATTTTTTCCAAATAAAAAACTTTTACTCTGTGAAAGACACTGTTAAGAGAATGAGCAGTCAAGCCATAGGTCAGGAGAAAATATTTACAGATCACGTACATCCAGAATACGTAAAGAATGCTCATTCAGTCTAGATAGAAATAGAGCCGTTTCTTGTACAGTTAGACAAATGCTTATAATAACCCTGAAACCTAACATGCATTAAGAACTATCAATGAACTATTAAGAACTATTAATACATGCAACCAGATGGATAACAAATATAATGTTAAGAAAAAGAAGGCAGACACATGAGTACACAGGATATGATTTCATTTATGTAATGTTCTAAAACAGGAATAACTAATCTATGATGTCAGAATGACTATGACTCTGTGGTATAGAGTGGTTATTTTAGGTGGGAGGTGATTTATAAGACTTTCAGAGTTCTAATAATGCCTTGCTTCTTGATCTGGAAACTGTGTTCACTGTGAAAACACAAGCTCCCCATGTAACATTTACAAACTTTTTTGGAAGATATTTTCCTATAATAAAAAGTTTACCAAAAGAGAGGAGAGTGGATTGATTAAATTGTCATACATCTATGCAACAAAATATGCAACAAAATATCCTTTAACCATTAAAAATATTACAATACACTATTTAAAGAAAATATGCTTAATAAAAGTAGGAAAAGAAAGAAATTACAAAAGAATGTGGTTTGATTTTATAAAATGTTTAAAAGTACATATATAAACAAAGACCAAGAAGACTATACACTGAGATATGAATTTTGGTTGGCTCATAGATGCTTTGTGTTCTTTGTGCTAGTGTTCACGGTTTATTTATTACATGATGAGCAAATATTATTTTGTATGAGAATAAATTTTAAATTCATGTAAAATAGTAAACATGGGGCCCTTGGCACAACAAAATATCCAATATAACATAGTAATTAAACAGTGTAAGAATAAATATATGAATAAGTGGAAAAGTACCCAGTAATAGACACAAATTTTAATATGATAAAGGGAATGCTACAAATATGGATCAAAAGGAGGAATATTTCATAAACAGTTCTAGGAGAATATTTAGAGAAGAGAAAAAATTAAATCTCTATTTATACCTTATGTGAAGAATCAAATTTCTAAAAAATCTAGAAGTAACTAAAAAACAAAAATGAAGCCATAAAAAATATAGAATAGAGGTAAATATCATTCTCTAGTTTGAAAGTACATTATAAAAAAGACTTTTGACTACATAAAATGAAACGCTCTTTTACTTCAAAAGAAATCATCACCAAGATTAAAATGCAAACAAATTGGAATGAATGGTTTGTATAAATACGACATGTAAAGAGCATGTATACTGATATTTAAGATCTCAGAGAAACCTA